TAATTTTCTATTTTTACTAACGAATTTATTTAAGTTAAAAATTTTTCTTAAAATTAAATGTCCTTTTTGCGGAGTTCGACAATGGGCCGGGCCCAGGATCGGTGTTTCTGGACTCAATAACTAAGAAATTTTTTTTTGATAAATTCCGTTTTTTTGGAGTTTTAGAATTATCCGTATACCTGGGGGAAGCGGCACTCAGAAATAGGGTTGTTCCCCGAAGGGGGGGGGGAGGAGGGGGAGGAGGGCCATGGGGAAAATTTTTGGAGAGGCAGCGCCATGGGGGGGGGTGAGGAATTTTCAAAAAAAATCTACCGAATTCCCCGACTTTCGGGGACGGGGACAGGGTACAATCCTACTCAGAAATGTTAAATTCTAATTATTAGTACACACTAACAATAAATACCTTATTTTTGACTTTTTCTAATTTTTTTCCGTTTTTTATTCAAATACAAAGTAATTATTTTCACGTCTCTTTTACTAGCATTCAAATATAACAACTTGCAACAAATCCAAATATACCTTTACACCAATTTATAATTAGCTTTCTCTCTTAATTTTTTCGAAGAAAAAGCAGAAAATAATAATTCTTTTTTTACTAAATTATAAAATATAATTATATTTTTTGGAACATAAAAAATATTTTTAATTCTTTTCATGGTCAGTAATACAAAACCAGTTTAATTTATAAGAAGTGCAAATCCTCCTTTTTGTTCAAGTTTTAAGTTAAAATTGAGAGAAGCTAAAAAAGGGAAAATTAAATTAAATTATTTTTAAATATTTTTAGAGAATTATTTTAATTTTTTAAATAAATAAATGAAAATATTAAAAAAATATTTGGGGAGTTCTAGTTTTGGATATTTCATTGCCGATCAAGGGCGGCCGTATTGCGTTTTTATTTTTTGGAGATTGTCTCTTGCGCCCGCCCTGATGCCGATCAGGACCCGCACAATAAGAAAGGTCTAAATTCCTTGGGTTACTCACAAAGTCTTGGTTAACCTTACGACTTAAAGTACCGGTTAAACTGCTTTTGCGTTCATTTAAGCTCATAGGTTTGGGGATGTTTTCGGATTTAGGATAAGACAAAAAAAAGTCCTTAAGGGATTTTTTTCCTTTTCTTAATATTCGAAACATCCCCAACCTTCTGGGACCGTAACTTCTTAAATATTTAAAGAAAGGAAAAAATAAATTTAATTTTTGGGGACTAGGTAACCTTAATTCAATGTACAATAAGAAAAGCTTTAAATGGCATTATGTTAACTTAAAGTATCGGTTACTGCTCAGCGTCATTAAGCTTTGCGTTCATTTAAGCTTAATTTAATAAAACATTTAAAAACTTTAAAAAATAAATGATTTTTTAAAGTAAATATTCTCATTAAAATAAATGACAATTCACACTTAATGAATGATGAGTTAAATAAATAAAAAGAAACAAAAGCACAACGGGAAGCCCAGTATTTTTCATTTTGTTGACACAAAAAATTTTTTTCTCAAAACATATTTTTTTCTTCTTTTCCAGAAAAATTTTTAGAAAAAATTAAAATATATTTAGTTGGAAGAATGACCGTGAACTTTTTATTCCTTTATTATATTCTCTAAATTGTTCTCTAATATAGTCAATTAGCAAGTAAAAACACTTTTTGGAAGGGGAAAGTATTTAAATAATAAAATGTGTTTATTTTCTTTGGGAAAATTTAAATTTTATATTTATTTTTGGAGGATTTCGAAGAATATTTTTGATATTTTTAATAGTTTTCTGTTCATTTATCTGGACTGTTAAAGTTTGAGGGATCCGTTCATGAGTGTTTTTCTACATTTCCTGATTTTCATTTTTAAAATAAGAGGCAAATCGCTTTTTCTCTATTTCCTCATCTTCTTTTCAAATAATTCAAGCACTATTCTAATTACATTCAATCTACAATGACGGTTTTAAAAATTTTTTGGTCTATCTGAAAAGTTTTCCCCACTTTTTTATGTCCATATTACCTAGTAAAGTATGTAAGCCTCCTCAGAATTTTTAAACTTCCTTCAATAAAATTTACTGTATTATCAAGTTTGGACTAAAAATAAATTAAACTAAATCAGCTTAAAAATAATTTTTGAAATAAAGAGTGTTAATCCAATCATTTTCTTTTACTAAAGAATTTCTCTAAGCTATTCAAAAATATATTAAAACTCTTTAAGAAATTAAATTCCCCTTTTTGGCACGTATTTTGTTATTTTTGGATATTTAAGAGAGTTGAGTGGGAAGTTGGGGAATAAGTGGGGAGTTGGGGGAAGAGGGCAGCCAAATAAACCAATCCAGGATAAGAAGTCATCGCGCACCAAATATTGCGCAATTGCCCCTATTCACTTAAAATGCCACTTTAGCTAAATGGATTTTGCTGAAAGAGTGAATAGGTAGGGAAAATTTTTTGAAAAGTTTATTTTAATTAAAATTAGAGCCCGGAATTTCGTACCGTACCGTATTCCGTACCGTACTACCGTATAATACCGATAAATACCGATGAATTTCAAAATTCTTCCGTACCGTATTACCGATACGGAATACCGAAAAATACCGATACCGATAAATACCGATAAAAATTGATCGGTATTCCGTACCGTATTTTTAAAAAATTAATTCAGTAAAAATTAATTATTTTTATATAAAAATTTGTAAGGATAAAGTCGTATATTGGGTATTCGCAGGGATTAATATGAATTTGAAGGGATATCTGAGTAGTTAGAGGGATATAGGTAGATTTTGAGGGATTAAGGAGGTATATGGTGTTAAGGGTAATATCGATAAATTTGTACTATTATAGTTGATCAGGAAATATGCTGATTATTGTGGATATAAGTGGATTAATGGGATTAAGAAGATTTAAAAAGATAGCTGTGGAAAAAGATATCTTACTTTTTCTGATTTTGAAATTTTGACTTCCAAATCTTGAGAATTTGGAAGTCCAAGAAGATGAATTTCATCCTATTATAGCGCCGCAGGCAAAATTTTTTTAGAATTTTCATCGACAAGAAGCCTTTTTTACCTTAAAATATAATAAAATTTTGAAAAATTTCATCGGTCGGTATTATCGGTATTTTAGTTTTTCCGTACCGTATTACCGATACGGAATACCGAAAAATACCGATACCGATAAATACCGATAAACTTGAAAATTTTATCGGTCGGTATTCCGTATCGTACTACCGATACGGAATACCGATAAATACCGAAAAATACGGCCGTAGTACGGTACGGTCCGGGCTCTAATTAAAATAATAAAAATAAATTGTTTGGTTATAAAAAATAAGACGAAAATTATTTTTTTTTCTGAAAAAAAAATTTAAAATATAAATTTTAAATTTATCAAAACATCACCATACATTTTTATAAAAATTTAGTATTTTTAAAAAATATTTTTATCTCATTTATAAGCAATTTTTCAGGTTTTCTTTACCCCCAAATTTTCATTATTTGCTCACTCATTCCTGTCTTTTTTCTCCGTATTCACTCATTGTTTAAATAAAATAAATATTACTGTAGAATTGGGAAGCTTGGCCCAGTTAACATTTTTGTCCTTATTCTCTCTTTTCTTATTTTCTTCAACCTCAATGTAAAGAATTAAAAATGTAATAGGCTTTAAATAGCAGAGAGAGAATAATTTTGGTTAGCGAATTTTTGAGTATTTTATTTTGGCAAAAATTTTACTCGTTTACAAGGAAAAAATGAAGGAGTAAATTGGAGTTATTATGAGGTATAGGATGTATATTGTGCATTGATTATCGGGATTCGAGCATTTCGACCCCGAAGTATCAGTATCGAACCCTGCTTCGAATGAAACCAGATCATTAACTATAGCCAGTGGGCCATATGTTCTGAAGTGAATTTAAATTTATATGTATGTATATCCTGGTGACCAAATTTTACATAGAAAATATTGCTATCCAACACTTCACGATTATTTTCTAAATTTAAATTGAAATAGATATCTTTGAATAATTTTATGTTTGTCTGTTTTTCTCATATATTTTTTTAATTTTCTCATATTTTCTCATATATTTACTCCCGTTTTCTGTCACCTGTTCCACTTGTACATTTAGCATATTAATAAATATCTATACTTAATTAGAAGGATAATATTTGGCACTTGAAATAAAAATTAAAAAATATGTCCCCAAGAGAGAGATTCCCCCTCCTCTCCCCAGAGATTCCCCTCCTCCTCCCCTAATTTTTGTTCGCATAAATGTAATAATAATCCATTTATTTGTTTATTTGCATGAGTATAATGCTAAAAAACAATATGAAAGATTATCTAGTTGTCAATATTATTTAATAAATTTGTACTAGTCTAAAACAAATAAATAAGTTCTCTCAACTTTTAAAGTTTCTCGTCTCCACCAAGGCTGCTTTAATGGAGTTTCTTCAATAGATTCAGCTGCTTCTGTTATTAATTCTGCTGTAACAGTATCGGCTGCTGGTGGGTGTTACTCAAACAATGGTGGATTTATTCCGAATCCTTTAATTTCAAATGGACACAAAAGAAAAAGAAGAATTTTATTTACTCAAAATCAAGTTACTCGGGTTTGGAAATTTTGATTTATTTAAATTTAAATATAGGCAGTCAATTAATTTATATTTATAATTGACGATTTATTAAGAGACATGAGGTTAAATTGAGGATCGATCGAGATTTCAGTATCTCGAATATCTACCGTATTTTCTCGATTAATTCCTCTGGGGAATTATTTTTTCAGCCCTTCCTTGGCATGTGGAATTAATCAAGGAAGGAGAATTATTCGAGTTTTGGCATTTGAACGTGCAGTAGGGTATTTGGGGATGGGGAATTATTGTTTCAACCCAACTCTAGAATGGGGAATTATTCGAGAAAATACGGTATATCGATACCTAAGATTTTTGAACGAAATCTTGTCGCAATCCATTCCCTAAATTAATTTAGTATACCTAAAATAAAACCTTAAAATTTAAAATAATCTACTAAAATATTTTTCAGTTAGAATATATGTATTCGTTGAAGCAATATTTGAGCGCACAGGAACGTGAGCAAATCTCTAGTGAAATTGGATTAAAGCCAAATCAGGTTCTAGACTAAATAAACTTCCAAAACAAAATTTCTTCAAAATTAAAGGTAAAAATTTGGTTCCAAAATCACCGCTACAAACAAAAAAGAAATAAGAGAGAACAAGAAATGATGCGAAATGCTAATTGTGATCAACAACGAGGAGATAGAGATGATGATCCAAGTCCTTCAACAAATAATTTGAATACTATTCAACAAAATAATATTAATAGAAGTATGACTGAGAATGGCAATAATGGATGTGGAAGGTTAAAAAATTATTTTGGAGAAATTTTAACTTTTTTCTTAAAGGGCTCGACTTGAAATTAAAATTGAAGAGCCACAACAACAATTACTACCTCAAATTGATCAGAAAACTCTAAACAGTCAATTTCTTCGTCTGAATACAAATGGAGTGTATCCACAAGCTACATGGGATATGGCTGCTGCTGCAGCACAACACCACTCAACAACAACAATGCCTTTTGTATCTACAGCTGGTACATTCTACCAACAACCCGTAAGTTTCAGAAAAAATCTCTTTTATTATATGCTTAAATTCCAAACAATTTTAGTATACTTATCAACAACCAGCATCGTTTTCTGCAAATTTCTTCATACAACCATCAGTCTACCCAGGATATCATACACCTGCTGCATTCTACAATCAAACAGCTGCCGCAGCAGCGGCCGCTGTAGCAACTGCTACAGACAAGAAGCTTATTTATGGAATTAAAAATTCACCATGAAAGGAAAGGTTTTTAATGAAAAGATTGTCAATTTTCTATTAATAATGCGTAAAAACCAGGCAATCCAAATGAACTTTGATAAACGATTTTTTGGAAAAATTAATTGTTCGATTGATTTGGATTGCTTATAACCGTTTTTGTATTTTTTATTTATGTATAATGCCAAATTTAACAAAATTAACAATAAAATCATGCCCCTTGATTTACCGATTCGTTTTATTTTTATATATAATTAATTATCAATTTATTGTAATATGTATATTAAATATTATTGTCATTATCCGTATTATTATTTTATTTCCCAGATTACTGCATTTTTATTTTTCGATTTTTTAAAATTTTTCAATTTCAAATAAAATTTTGAAAAAAACTATTTTGATTCACAAAAAAAGTTTTAAAAAATTTTTTATAGGCATGTAAATATAATAATCGTAGAAAATGTCTACTAATTAATTATTCTTGTATTACATATCTTTAATACTCCGTACAAATTATAACTAAAATTACATAGAGGTGTGTTAATGAGAGATATTTAATATACCATGTAAGGAAAGGGTGGGGTTTGGATTTGAAAGAAAGAAAAAAACGGGGAAAGTTCACAGCTAATAATTAAAATAAATTCTCGTCACTAATTAATAACTAAAAAAAATAGAAAAGTGTGAAAAAGAATAAAAGAAAATTATTTTGTTGTTGCTAGAAAAGGGGCATGAACTACTTTATTTTCCTTTTTATTTTTGTTGCCATTGTGATATTCTGTAAAAAAAGATTTGTTTTTGTTGATGATGCAAGGAGCGGCAGAAACAAAAATCAAAAAATACAAAAATTATGACCTTTACTATTATAAGTGTGAAGGGATGTAAATGAACTTTCAATAACATGAAAATGAAAAAGGGAATTTTATGAAAGAAGAGAAAAAATATATATCCGGATCTTGAAATTTTCCGGAGTTGAAAAATATAAAAATAAAGGTCATCCTTTCATTAATGTAAAATAATTTTTTTCTTTTGCCGATCAGATTGTTTACTTAAGGTAATTGAAGGTAAAATAAATAAATTAAAAAAATATTTTTTAACTTAGATTTAAAATTTAATTTTTAAAAAAAATTTAATTAATTTAAAAATTAATTTAATTAATTTAATTAATTTAATTTAATTAATTTAAAAATTTAATTAATTTAAAATTTAATTTTTAAAATTTAATTTAATTTTTAACTTTAATTTAAAATTTTTCTGTTAAATTTCCTTCTTCACCAACTACACAAAAGTACATACTGTAACTATATAATTTTTTCTAATTTCTTATTTCTTTTCCAGTTTTTGTCCAGTTTTGGACAAATATCCAGTTTTTAAATATTTAAGGGTATATTTGTTTTGCGCAAAAACAAAATTATTTTTTGATTAAATGGAGAATGGATTTTTTAGAATACCTCAATTTCTTTTGCTTTAAATTAAAAATATTTTAAAATTCTTCCTTTTAATTTCCGATAATTTTTATTATTCATCATAGACATAGTTGACAAAATGACTATGTTTGAAGGTTTCAGTTTAAAGTTTCAGCCTAAATCCTATATAGGTCCCGAAATTTTATGCTTGAAAATAAATATCTTTAGAACGTCTGCTTGCCTGAACAGCCCATAAATACGGATATTGATACAGATAATATCAAAATGCCTGCGGACATCCGTCTGTATCCGTCTGTTTCGCCTTAAATATGCGGATACGGATACCAAGATCAGTATCCGTGACCAGGTCTGCCTGAAATATCAATTTTTATAATATTTTATAAAGTCCAGTTTGTTTTTACTGAAGCTTCTCTTTAGAAAATTAAGCAGTTTTATTAAAAACTATTTAAAAACAATTAAACACAAATTACAATATTCCTTCTAAAAATTCCCAAAATTTTCTCAAAACACTTTTTAAAAACAAAATAAAAATATTTAGTAATTCACAAAATATTTTTTCTATTGTTTTTCAAGTATCTTCCCAACAATAGCTACAACAACACATTTAAGGAGTGTTTTAAGTGGTAGAGTGTCAAGATGTGGGAGAAAAAGAGAACATATTTTTACTAAATTTATTTTAAAATGAATTTGAGGGAAAATAGTTTTACTGTAGTTGAAAAGAATTTTAAATAAATCTGTCATTTATTTTTAATATTGTGAATATTCAAAAGTAGAATATTCACTTCTAGTTTGTAAAATTTTTGATTAAGACTGAAGACCGTCACTCGCTTTAGACCATCGCTTGGTTTCTTATGAGATTCTTAAATATGGAGTATCGTTTAGGCAGAGCTTTTCCAACAAGTGGCCACTGACCACTATATTTAAAAAACGAATATCAAATTGATCACTTCAGTTTGTAAAATTTTTGATTAAAACCCTCACTGAGGACCGTCACTCGGAGCTTAATATTTTATATTAAGAGGTTCTTAAAGTTCCTAAAAAGCAGCTCTTCCAACAAGTGGCCACCATATGTATTTTAAAAAACGAATATTAAATTGAGGTGTATGTATTTGTTATTAAATGTATTCTAGTATAATGAGGTCCGAATTTAATAAAATAAAATATAATGTTGTCTAATTTAAGGAAAATAATCTTCCTTAATTGTTATAATATTTTTCGGGATTAATTAACTTTTTCTGATTTTTTTTCTGAATCTTAAGGAATCTAGAAAATAAGGAATAAATACATACGTATATTTAAAATAATTCTTCTATTTATTCAAAAAATATTCAAAAGAAATTATAAAGATTTCGTTCCTTTCATTTTTTAAATTTTTATAAAATAAATTACCTGGGAAATTTTTTTTATAATTTATTCTTCCCAAAATTGTTGTTCAAGAAAAACTAAAATATATAGACTATCTAAATATTTTTTATTTTTCGAGAAGCAAAGCCGCTGTTTGCTTTGCCTGATTTGCAATGAGTAAAATAATAAATGTTGTGGTGCGCGCGCCACTTTGAAGGGCCATGAGAAAGAATTGAAAAAAAGAAAATATATTCAAAATATTAAATTACTGAATATTTATTAACATATTAATTTAGAGGTATTTAGAAATTAATTGATAAAATATTAGATTAGTGTTTATTTAATCTTATTTAATAATTTAAAAAATTAAACAGTTTATCATTAAAGGAACTAAAATTGTATCTGTTTCAGGTTGTGGTTTTGTCGGGTTTAACGATAAAAAATTCTTCGGGAACTGGATTACCTATATATAATGGTTCGAATTTTTAACTATCACTCACTACTATTATAAACATTTTTGAAGAGCCATGAGAAATAACGTATTTCCTCTAATAGAGGCTCCTGCACAATAAAAAAATCAGATCAGTTTAATAATTAGATTTTTAAATATATTTTTCAGCATTTTCAAAAAAAAACCAAAAATTAACTAAAAATTGCAGATTAACCCTAAAATGCCCCTCATTCCATTACTTATCTTCTTTTAATATTTACCATTTTACCTCTCAAAGCAAATTAGTCCCGATTTTTTAATTTTCTCTTTATAAATTTGCCCTTCCCCTTAAATGTCCTCAATATTATGCCGAAAATATTAGTCGCTTCTTTTTGCCATTTCCGCCTAAAATTCCCTCAATATTTGTTTCTTCCTCTTTTTGCTAAAGCTTTTCTAAAAGCCGACAGTGATGAAGATTTATACATAATTATTGCTACTTTAATATTTTTAAGTAAGCGCGTTGTGCAAATATTTATTTATCCTCTTTTTCCTATAATTTATTTTAGTGTTATCTTAAAAAATCATCTCTAGTGAAAGTCGGTTAAATTTCAACACAGATTAATGAAAGGAAGATGAAAGGAAAATTAGGGGATAAATTAGAGGAAATAATTAAATTTAATTTTAAAATATTTCTACTGGAATTTTTTAGATAATTGCGAAAACCTAAATGATAGAGATTGAAAGCAGGGATGTCCGAAATTGAAAAAAAATTGCGGACATCCCTGCTTCCGCAATTTTAATTTTAAAATCCACAGCCGCAATCCGCAAGTCCAAAAAACACGCAATCCGCAGTTACGGACAGCTATAAACGAAAGTCATTAAATTTTGGTCTCGCAGTAATAAATTTACTGCCCTTATGAAATTAAAGTTAAAAGCGATTAAAAATTTAAGTCATTCTGTTAAATTTTTGGGCATAAATAAAAATAAATTCCCTAGAATTTCGTTTAAAATTTCAAAATCTTTTTTTTTCACCCACAAAATTTACATGCAATCAAACATTATTTATTACAATAATTATTATACAAACAAGATATACAGACAATACAAAGTTTTTGTTTTTTACAAATAAATATTAAGACCTATTTTACATACAAACTATTAGGTTATGAAGAGAATTACGAACACTATATCTATATAATTAATCAACAACGACATCTTCTCTTCATTCCTTCACTTTTGTTGTCCTTATATATTCCCGACATTGTCTCAATTGCTATTCCCGTAACTGCTCCTGCGGATACGCGTTCGGTAAGTGCCTAAAGGGTATAGAGAAATTTTTATATTTGAAAAGGTTCGGGTTTTCTACCATTGATTATTGCCAGTTGGATGAGCTGTTGACGCTTGTACTCGTCAAACTGAAAAAAAATGCATTGAAATTTTGTTAAAGTCGATGGTTAAGCATCAACTTACCACAACAGGAACCATCAACTTCTCAATACACTGCTTAGCATTCGCCAACTTTCGAGCACACATCTCATGAGTCAGGTCTTGAACCTCAACGAGCACATGCAGCTTCTCCTCAAGATGGCGCCCTTCAGGCTTCCCGCGCAAGCGTTTCTCCTTTGCTGCGTCCTTGACCGAACCTTTGCCTCTTATCAATATTTTGCATCCGTAGAGCATTTCCAGCTGTCGAACAGAGATGCCACGCGGGCCAAGTATGCGACCAATCAAGTTTTGGCACTTTCCGTCATCGTTGATTGCAGATTCCGGAAACGGTACCTTGACATACATGTGCGTGAGGCCATTCTCGGTCTGTGAAATGAAAGGGAAAATTTTTAGAAAATTTGAATAAAAATGCAAGAAAAACTCACAATTCTCATAGTGGTGAATTGTTCTTCCAGCTCTTGAACGCCTCCGCCGCGAGAACGAAACGGTCGCTTGCCCGATTGAACGCATGGAACGTAAGCAGGCACTGATTGACGTTTAGAGTTGGCCAGTGGAGAAGACGAAGGAATGAACGACGAAGACATCGTGATGAAGAAAACAATATGAAGCAGGTGCGTATTAGATGATTTTTTTGGGTTTTGAAGTATTAGAGTGGGGATTTAAGCTACTTAAGCCTGTTTTTATAGTATGTCGCAAAAACTTTATGCTCCATTTTGTATGTTATTTCGGCATTTATTTGAACTTTGTTCGGTACTTTTGCGTTAATCGACCGCAAAGTGTATACCACCCGACTTTGAACAATTATAACCAATACAAATGAATTTTATAGCATTCGAAAGCCCTCGATAAGCTCTATCTTTTAACAAATGTATGGATCAGCTCTGATCACTCATAAAAAGTTACAAGTCAACAAGTGCAAGAAATCGTTATTTTTAACTATTATCGGGTTATAACTTTTTTAAGTGATCAGCTCATCTATACATTGGGTAAAAGATAGACCTTATCGAGGGCTTCCGAATAATATAGAATTCATTTGTATTGGATCAAGCATAAAAAAGTTATCGGTTGGTGCTCAGTTAACGGAAAGTACCCTTTGTTCTGTTCATTTGAGGTTATCTACGCTGAGATGCCTTCCATTAGAGCTTTAAATTTTCTTAACATTGTAACTGATCAACTGCTTTCCCTTTCACTAATACCAACTGCCTAACAATTAAACAGATATAATATGTACTATGTTTTGTTGGAATGAGATATTCATTATACTTTTAATTTTAATATTTATCCATTTAAAGGTTATCTAGAACACTTGTAACAATAAATTAATAGTTTTATATTGTATAAAATCCTTTCTTCAATTGCTCAATTCCGGTCAATTATAAGTACAGCAATGTGCCAATTGAATGAAAACAATTTAAGTAGTAAATGTCATTCAAATAATGCCATTCAAATAATATTATTATTTATTTTATTAACAAATAAATACAAACTTTAATGTAAACAAAAATAAGGTCGAAAGAGATGAAATTGAATAGCCTCAATTTCTCGCGCAATTAAAAAACCTGAATAACCCTAAAAATAAACAAACATTAAAAACATTAAAATTATTTTTAAATTGTTGTAGAAGTTGATAAGGTTAAGAAGAAAAAGAAAATTATTTTAAAGGAATATTGATATTACTATATTAATCCTGTTAAAGAGATTTTTCATTTTTTCATTTAGAAATTTTCGACTCTAGGCCAATCTAATCCCCCAAAACAGTACTAATATTCGATCTAATTTACGTCCTATTAACGTTTATAGTTGGCTAAGAGGAGCTAACTAAGAGGAGGAGAGAGAGAAGGAGCTTCCAAAAACTAAGAAGAGCTTCCAAAAACTAAGAGGAGCTTCCAAAGCAATATCCTCTATTTAAGATATACCTGATTATAAAGTAAGATTTTTATGTCATGTGTCTAAAATGAAGACATGTCTAATATAAGGGATAAATGTATTAGAAAATTTTAAAATTTTAATATGAATATTAAAAATTGAAAATTATTTTTTGCAGAATTTTGTTAAAATTAAACAAATTTTGATAAAATTAAACAAACAAATGTTTGATAATAAAATAATTATTCAAATCAAACAAACAAACAAACTTTCTGTTTAATTCTCACTTTTTTTATCATTTAAAATTGTTATGTGGACAAAAGCTGTGGACTTCATTTTAGCATTAAATAGCCTATATTTTATTTAATTTTCCTTTTTTGTTATCATTAAAAGGGGATTGTGGACAGAAATGTGGACAAAAAATTATTAGGCTGTGGACAGGCTCTTAAGCTATAAAAAAGGCACCAAAAACTTCATTTTTTCAAACAAAAATTAATTAATTAAAAAAAATATTTCTCTTTCCTAAAATTCTAAAAATGAAGCTCTATATTATTCTAATTATTGTCATGTTTGGATTATTGGCTTATGAAATGGGGGGAATTAATGGAGAAATGTTTAATGATGGTGAGAACGATATGGGATATATCGGTAAGAAATTAAATTTTTTAAATTTTTTAAAAAAATTAATTTAATTTTTTAAAATTAAATTTTTTAATAATTAAAAGCTTTTGCCTATTTTTAAATCTGGTTGGCTATTGCGTTGGGGGCTGCTACCTAACCGAAACCCTCACTTTATTATAGGATTTTTCAGCCTTACAACAAGTGAAAAGACTTCAAATAAATTTATAATTTTTATCAACTCTTGCCCTCAAAAAATTTTCAAATTTTTGTTATAATTGGATCTGAAGTAATAATTAACGATAAAATTTTAAAAAAGTCAGTATTTGGAAATTAAAATTTAATTAATTAAAAACCCAATTTTAATCTTTATAGAGAACCCAGTTCGTGCCCGTTTTCGTTCTCGTCGTAGCTGTCTTCCTCCAAGTTGTGTTGGAAACTGTTACTCTGGAAACTGCGCTTATTGGTGCAATCTTTGTTATGGCAAATAAAGAATATATAGGATGTGATGAAATTTTTGCTAAGACATAAAAAAATAAATTTCACAAATATTTTAAATTGTGAATGGAATACATATAGTTGGTAAAAAATAAAATTGAAAAAAATATTTTTTATTGGGACCTTCATTAATAGTTAAATAATGTAAACTGTCTGGGATTAGTACATATGTGTATTATAAACGCGATCCTTGTCCTTTTCAGAAAGGAAAATATTGAAAAAATAGATAATGATAACAAAATTATTTGATAAAATTAATATCATAACTATGTGTAGTATATTAATAGAAAAATTAACCCTATTTGATTGATTTTTGAAATTATTTTTTGAATTAATTTAGACAGCAAATATATTAATGAAAAATTTTTAATTTAAATAATTGGTTCAGTTTGGATCAAATTCAATTTTTCGCACGAAAATATACAAAATCTAATAAAAACTTAACTTTAATTTTGCAAGTTTTATAACTAAAAACATGATTTGCCTTTAATTTATTTTGTTGCTTATCCAAATATTTTTTCATTATTTAAATTTAAAAAAAACCTAAGAAAATTTATTTTATTCACATTTTCATTGTTTTCGTTTGGCTAAATCAACAGCTGTTTTATATTTACAATTAAAGACAAATGAAAGAAAAATATTGATAGGAAATCAGACGAAATAAAATTTTGACAAGAGGGGAAAAATAAATATTGGAAAGTGAAAAAAAAAGAATAAAAAATGGAAGAGAGAAATTCGGAGAAATATATTTGGATCAAACACTTTTTCTGCACTTATTTTACACTTAATAGTGATTTTTAAAATTTAATGTAATAATTTATTTTTTATAAAATTAAATAATAATTAGCTTGGGGAGACATAGATCGGTATTTTCAAAAATCCTGGATTTGGATTCTGGATTTGGATTTAGGTCAGTAACCTGGGCAGGATTCTCGAACTGGATCCAGAAAAAATCCAGGACGATAAAAAAATGCCTGGATCTGGACTCTGAATCCAGGAAAAATCCAGACTTGATCCAGATCCAGACCGATCTACATATAAGAGACATCATATAAACGTGAAATAATTTTTAGAAAAAATTATTTAATTATCAAAAAATGCTTTGGAACGTCTTTTCTCGTTTGCGATCCAGTCGTTCACCTCTCCTTCCAATAATTATGTTAGCAACATTAATATTATATACACTTTTGGGTGCTCTTGCATTTTGTGCTTTAGAATCAGCGAATGAACTTGAAAAAATAGCAAAATGGTCGGCAAGTCTCAGACAAAGGGAGTTACATGCAAGAGAACGATTACTTGCTGATTTACAGTAAAAAATTTTTTTCTAAAAATTTTGTTTAAGTAAAAATAAATTTCAAATCTATTTAAAATATTTTATAAAAAAATTTGCCTCAGTTCACTTTTATTTCAAGTTTTTGGAGTTTTCAAAGATTACTTCAATATGTATAGGTTGGAGATCGAGATTTTTAAAAGCCTGGACCTGTTCCTGGACTCTGTTTGATTTCTTGACATGGACTGGATCCTGGGCCTGTAGTCCAGGAAAAATCCAGGAAGGTCAAAAACCTGGACTCTGGGTACAGGAAAAACCCAGGCCTTGATCCATGTCCAGTTCGATCTCTAATATAGGTATAGGTTGCTGACAACAATGAAATTAGTTAATGAACAGGAATAATAGAAAAACATGTGTAAATTAACAATCGAGAAATTGTATTAGAAAAAAAATAAAAACTATGAAATTATATTTGGAGGCATTTGTAAAATTTCTTTTCAGATATTTCTTTGTTCGCGAAGTCAATGTCACTCGGTTACTTAGTCCAGAATTCCAACACAGTTTGGATTTGTATGACAAAGTAATGGAGTTTGATAGTAAGGGAATAGAACATGGATTATCAAATAAAGATGCTCATGGAAAACGATTTAAGCCAAAATGGAATATTTGGGGAGGTCTTTATTTTGCTGGAACTATTTTTACGACAATTGGTTATGGGGACATTGTGGCTGAAACAATCGGTGGAAAATGTTTAGTTGTGATATATGCGTTGATTGGAATACCTCTTAGTAAGTTAGGAATTTTTAACCTAAAGTTCAGTTTTTTAGATAATGTAAGGATGATTCATCTAGAGCATTTAAAACGTTTAAGCGGGGGCTCATGTGTGTGGTGAGCAAAAGCGCCTAGCAATGACTGTCAAGAGGTCGTAGGTTCGAATCCTGCCCGGTTGCTAAACTTTTTGCTTAACTCTTTCCATAACCTAGGGGTGGAAAAATAATTAATAATTAAAAATGAGGGGTAGATTGATATTGGGTAGGTAGATCGTCCACCAAATTTTATATTTGATTAGTTTTTGCAAGTTTAGAAATTAGGTCGACTGTATTTTTATAAGTTTAAGTTCTTAGTAATTCAAGTGATAATTTTTTTATTTTTCAAGTCATTTCTTTTCTTAATGTTTGGGGAAACGTTCTTCTCCGCGTTGTTCAATGTACTCTTTAATATTTTTACTTTTTAAACAAAAATAACTAAAAACATTTTCAAGCATTTTGGTATGATCATTTGCTTCATAATTTCAAGAAACTGCCTGTTTTAGGAGAAAGGAGGGGAATAGTCCCGATGGAATCTGAAGTTAAAGTTATCAGAAAAATTAGAGATATAGTTTAATATTTTTATTTTTTAAAGTTTTTGGATGAAGAAAATCAACTAGAAAATTATGAAAATTTAGAAAATAATGAACAAACAAGCAATACAGAAAATAATGAAAATTATGATATTCAAAGACAAAGTGCTTTAATTGTTGATAATAATGTAGAACAGAAAAATGAGATTAGAGAGTTGCCGCTAAAAGTAAATAATATGATAACAAATATTTAATTCTATCCAATTTTGCTAGTTGCAAAATTACTGCCCTAAAATTGACATAGACAAGCTTTGTTTCTAAAATTTACTTATCAGTTTAGGATAACATTATTAATATAGGGTTAACGCGGTTGAATGCAGGGTAGGAAGGAGCTAACTCCAATTTAAAATACCCTTCATTATAAGGTCCCTTAATTAATCTCTTAATTATCTAAAGATGAGGTTCGACCGCTATACAATAATAGAAACTGTTAAAATTAATTAATTAACTTATAAAAATTTTTGTCTAATAGATAAGAAACAGCTTCAAAATTTTTTTGAAGATATTATTAAGTCTAAATATATTACCGATATACATATTATCGCTTATTTAATCAGAACCTAATAGAATAATTCTAAAAATTAAAATACTTATTTTTATTTTATTCTAAAAGGTTGCATTATTATTATTAATCGGTTGGATATTACTTTGTGCAACACTTTTCACAATTTTCCAAAAATGGACATTCCTAGATGCTGCCTATTTCTTCTTTGTATCATTAACAACAATTGGCAAGAAATTAAATTTTTTTTAAATTAATTTCTTTAAAGGTTTTGGTGATTATACAACAGAACATAAAGTAGCTTGTGCTTATTTTATTTTAATATTAATTGGACTTGCTGTTGTTTCGATGTCTTTGAGAATGTTACAAATAAAAATGGAAAGTCTTTTTAACAAAATATGTCGTTCTATAGATTCTGATTTTAAAAATAATTTAATTGGTTAATTTTTTAAAAATTAATTTTAATATTATCACGGAAAAATAATAAAAAGACATAATTTCTCGAATATCTCGAAGAAATAAAAAGTATTCTTTGGTTTAAAAAATATTTTTAGAAGAAAAACAAACACATTCAATCTCAACAAGTACAGATAATAAATTACAAGATATTGAACAATTAAGAGTGAAAAATGGGAAGAATATTGAATTAGGCCGTGTAGAAGATAACGAAGGTAAATTATTATCAGAAACAAATTTTTGTGAATTAATAAAATTTTCTAGGTAATACTGATGCTATTTACAAATATCGAAACTCTATGAGTCGAAGCGAAAAATTAATGGTACAAATGTTGATGGGGCAACATTGGTAATGAAAATAAAAATTTTTTAAATTTTTTTACAAATTTGAATAATATTGGGGTTTTTAAAGGCGTAATATGCTCGACGAAAAACTTCGTTCAAGACGTAAAATGCGTAATAATTCTACACAAACTGATGATTTTTTAACTGATGCCCAAATTCAGACTGAACAAGTTAGAAGTTTACGTCCAATTTCCTCTTTGTTTACAAACCGTTCTGTGGAAGGAGAAGAAAATGATGTGAATTAAAATTATATTTTATAAAATAAAAAAAATATTAGGACGATGAAGTTTCTGATTCCATTGGACAACTTCCATCAACCCCAATCTCAAAATGTAGTGGAAGTATTTATCGAAGGAATAACACAATGCCTAATGCTGTAGCACGTCAGCATGCACGGGGAAGGGGGTTGGGGCGTAAACGAATGTATATTTACAATACTGGTGATTAAATTGTGAATATTATTAAATATTTTTATGGGTAAATTTTGGTAATTAAATAACTTTAAAAAATTTTTTTAATATAACAATTTTATACAACAAATTAGGCACAAGGTTAAAAGAAGTGAAAAACAAAAAATTTGTTTGACAAAGTATAAATATCAGAGGGATTATTAGACTATAATAATATGAGTGCCATTCATCAGAGGTAGGTCGGAATTCCGATTTCCGACTTTTGAGCCAGTTCCGATTTCCGGCTCTTCCGATTTCCGACACCTCGGACTGTTCCGACCCACCTCTGCCATTTATCACAGAATTTGGGACACTTCCAAGTTTCCAAACCAAACACTGCTTCATCCGTTAATTAAGGTTCTTCTGACCTTTTTTTCTTCATCTGTAATGTTACGTCCTTTGAAACTCTGTCGTTGAAGAAATTGTCAAGAAAATCAGTGAGTTCCATTATTATCAATCACCGACGCTGAAGATGTTCTAACAATTGTCTGCTAGTACGTTTTGCACCGCTGGGAATTGCACCATTTGCATCCAGTCCAGCAGTGCGTGCAATAGCATCTGCTTGCATTTGGCGACAATAATGAATTAAAACTCTTTGATAATATTCTCGAGGGGTTAATGTTCTGGCTGTAGAACATAATGAAGTATTTCTTTAAAAAAGAATGGTGTAAGTTAAAAATAAAATAAATTACAATTCTAGCGATTCGCTTGAAGCTAGTTGACGATCAGAATTAAAAGATAAAGTACGGGGTTGTTCAATCCATTTAAAGTAGTAAATGTCCTGAAAAGGAGGAAAATTATTATTTAAAAATCGGAATCTTAAAAATAAGACCGGAGGAATGAATGGCCTTCCACCTATCCAATTTACATCAGGCTGTCGTCCATTGAGCAAACAATCCAGTAGATATTCCTAAAAAATATTTAATTACATAAAATTAAAAATTAAACACCTCTGGTAATTGTGCAAGTCTGTCAAGCTGATCAGGTGTCAACCCATAATTTTTTTGAAGAAAGGCGACATATGAGAAGACCTTAGAAGATATAATTTTTTGCAAAATATTAATTCAAATTAAATTTTAAAATTATTATTTAATTCCTAGTTTACCTCTCCAAGGTGAATAACCTTCCCACCAATAGTTAGGAAGGATCGTCCTAGTGTCCTTCCATAAAAATGAATATCTTTAATATATTCACTTCCAACTAGATCAATGCACCTATAAATTACTTATAATCTCTGATAAAAATATTATTTAACATTGTTGTGATGATTAAACCAACAACAATATAGGCAAGAGTTGCAGGAAGGAAATCAACATTTTGAGGGACTATATCTCCAAATCCAATGGTTGTAACAGTAACAAAGCAAAAATAGAAAGCATCAACAAAAGACCAACGTTCCCATAGTTGCATAAGACAAGCTCCTCCAGCAGTATAGCAAAGCATAACTACGAGAATGAAAAGGACAGAAACTCGGCGTTCTCGCCCTCCAATGCATTCTTCATCACCATAATCTTCATCGGGTTCGAGCTATGTATTAAAATTATGTCAGATTATTTAAAAAAGTTTAAGTAAATCACTTCTTCCTCCTCAGCCCCACCCAAAGCATCACTACTCTCTACACCCTCAAGCTCATCGGCCCTCGCTCGCGTATCTTCCTCACTGTTTTGTTCGATTTCTTCATGAACCGTTTTGATGTCAGATACGTCTTGGAAGGTTCCGGCTTCAGAAACTGTGTCTAATTGTGGAGGGGGTGGGGGAGGTTTTAGCCGTTTCTGCGCTCGACGCATTGCTGCTAATCTTAATAAATCAAAATTCAAGTGTATTTAGAATTATCTCATGTACCGAAGGTTTGGAGGCTTTAGTCGATCACTAGCTGCTGATTCCTCGTTATTGTTTGTATCCGTTGCAGGGCCAACTGTCTCTCGAGACATTTCTTCTATTGTAGCTAAGGCTCCAGAATTCGGGCCGATATGGTTTGATTGATATTGTTGTCTGGATGTTTCTCCTGGCCTTGAGGAGCCTTAAAAATTTTTTTAGAAAATTTAGACGTTAAAACAAAAGATGCTCTAACCGGAGACAGTTGATTCACTTGGAGCAATCGTTGTAGCTGTAGCTGATTTGTTTTTTGTTAAAGATTTTGCAGCTTTAGACTGTTGCATCAATCGCCTCCTTCTCATTCTTCGTCGCCAAAAATAAATACAGCAACGACACAAGAAAAACCGAAAAAACCAGCTTAACCTTCTATAACAACCTCTACGTATTATGCGTAAAGTTGAATGAATCCAAACAATACCATTGGAGAGAAACCGACCCATATCGGCAATTGTTACCAATACTGAGATTTTAATAGATTTACAATATTAATTTTTCTTTACTAACTTAAAGGAATTCCAAATAATGCGTAAAGAAGGCAAGATATTCGTCCCTGTATTGTTAAAGGCACAATGTGGCCGTAACCAATTGTTGTTATAGCAGTCCAAGAGAAGAAAATACTTGAACCAAACGACCATTTAGTTGGACCCGAACCGTAAATGATCTCGTCTGGAGTCATATAATTTTTAGTGTAGTCAATAAATACATCTCTGATAAAATTTTAAAATTTAATTTTTATTTTTTTGATTTATCTAAATACCGAATAACAGCATTCATTCCATTATTCGCGAAGTTAGCCCATTGTATAAATTCTGGGTCACTCCAATTAGGGGCATTTTGATTTGTTAATGTCCATAGCTGAACAATAACACGATCCTTTTAAGAAAAGATTTTGTTAAAGTATCAGCGTTATTTATTTTTACTTTTAATAATTGAACTCTATGTGCAGTCTCATTACGGATATGTTTCTCATTAGGCGTTTCAAAATGATGAAAAATTGCTGCACCTAGAAGTGTATATGCAGCAGATAACAAAATTAGTCCAAAATGGGGAAGGGCGATTCTAAATCGTTGTTTCCATAATTCTTTTCTGTTTTTGGGTTCGTCCCGGAATGTGACGGTCTGTTGCTGTTCGTCTACATCAACACGTTCACTAGCTTCTTGGCGGTCGATATAAAGATTGAGTCGTTCCGCACTTGAAATTAAATTTTACACTTAGTTTAGGAAATTCTAATAATTTATTTTTCGTTTCTTGCTTATGTCAGTTCCCAGAATTTAATTTTAAAATAAAACAATAGCAGAATAGAGCTATATTTTTCTACATTAACTCAACACCTGAGTTCAGCAACATCATTCAAATTGTATAGTGAAGAAGGAAGTGCTGACTGTTGTGGGGGTGCTAATGTTTTATCACCACCACCTTGGGAAGGAATAGAAGAACGGTGTAAATGATGAGTAGTTGATGTGGAAAGGGTATGCCCAAAGTGGAACATGTGAGAAAGAACAAAGTTGAATAAAATGAAGAAAAATTATTGGGAATATTAAGACGGCATTTTATAAATTTTGGACTAATTGATCTTTAGGAAAAATTTAAAAAAAGGAGATTAAAGTTGAATTGCGAATAATTTTTAAATTAATTTTTAGAGTTTAAAATTAATTTGTAAAAAGATTTATTTGAAGCACTTTTAAACTAAAAAAATGAGATTCTTGGCTCTATCTGAAAGGAGGTGCGGGATCATATTTTTTCCTCCTTCGTTACACTAGTCAGTCGATTAGCCGACTTTTGCGGCTTTTGCGGCCCGTACAAAAAATAAATGACCTTTATAATAACCCACTATAAATACCCCCCCCCCCCCCCAACCCGACTTTTGCGGCCCGTACACTTGCGGCTCAGACATATGCGGCCCCGACACTTGCGACTCGTCCCTATTATGCACCTCCTTTCAGATAGAGCCAGATTCTTTTTTAAGTAAATTTCTGGGCAAATATAAAAATGATTTGTTCTAAAATTGATTTTAGCTTCTGACTTTATTGCCGACAAATGAAAGAATTCCATTTCCTATAGATTTTTGTTTAGAGAGCGTCATCTATCTTTTAAGGAAAAGCATGCGCAAATCCCTAGAGGATCTGTAAGGTCAGACCTATATATTAGCCGAAAATTGGAAAGAAGCGGGAAAATGATACAAAGAAATGCTTGTTGCTTAATGCCAAAAATGGAAGAAAGGAAGAGTTTTAATAAAATAGTTTACATACAAAATTGGAGGAAAGGTAATGGGTAAATTAAGCAATAAATTGAAACTTTAAGAAAAATAAATAATAAGATAAGGAAAATAAAAATAAAAAAAGTTATTGGAATATTTGTATAAATATTGGTCTTCAGGAAAATTTTTAAGAAATGTCCGGATAACAGTAAAAAATGTCCGGAAAAAATGTCTTATTTGCTGTAAAAATTTTGTAAAAATGAGCTTATTTATTTTTCTTTTTTACTTAATATTTAAAAATTGAATTAAAATTTTATTTACATTAGAATCTAGTATTAGGAGTAATTTTTTTATTCTCATTAATTTTTGGGACGAGGATTTGGTACCAATTCTCATAAATTAAGATGAGTTTATGAATGAATTGTGAGTGGCTTGCGGATATATCCGTATGCGGATACAAAAATCCGTGTTCATTCTCAGTAGTGATGGTCGGGAGTTAAAAAAAGCCGAGAGTCGGGAGTCGAGACCGAGACCGGGAATCAACCCCGAGACCGAGTCCCGGGTCGAGACCGAGAGTCGAGACCGAGAGTCGAGAACAAAAGATTATGTAGGTTATATATATCCTTCCAAAAGATTCATTATATATATATCCTATATATCCTTCATTATAGATATCCTTCCAAAAGATTCCTTTAATTTCATTCATTTTCTGCGCCGGAGGCGAAAATTTTGAGAATTTTGGAGGTCATGAAGCCAGATTTCTCCCATTTTCTGCGCCGCAAGTGAGGATTTAGGCGCCTCATAGGAAGATTTTGAAAAATTCATGATTAAATTAAAATTTTTAATGGCTTTTCAAGTTTAAAATATTAAAAAAATAAATTTAAAATCAAAATCAAAGTTAAAAGGCATTTATTTTTGAAAAGAAAAATTTTTTCTGCCTCAATTCCGCCCCTGGATTCGAACCCATTCCTATCAAAATAACGAAACGAGTGAAGTCAATCAACCTAACCACTCAACCATCGACCAACATGAGAAAAAATGAAAGAAAATTAAATATTTTGTTCCATTTTTCTTAAGAATTTTGATGATAAAGTCCAGGAGGTACGAGTAAAATTCAAAAAATTTCCGTCATTAGGGGTGTAAATTTAGTCTCGTTTTCCGAGACTAAAACACCGAGACCGAGATCGAGACCGAGAGCTCAAAAAACCCGGGAAATTTCCCGACTCGGGAACCGAGACCGGGAATCCCGACCATCACTAATTCTCAGCCTCTTGTTGATAAAATGTTTACAAATTTGAAGGAAATGTAAATGGATAAGTTAAGTAATAAATCATGTATATTGAAAAATAATTATAATTTTTGTTTTTTAAATTAGGAAAAATAAAAATATAAAAGTTTATTTTTAACAAATTATTTTATTAAATAAATTCAATGTTTATGTGAATATTTTACATAATATATTGTTTCTCAAAAAAATTTAAGAAAATGTTCCGGAATTATTTTGATTAATTTACATATAATTTTAAGAATTAAGTTTTAAAGTGTTCGCATCTTACCGATATAATTTGTGCGCAAACCTAGCTCTTGCAAACATTAAATATTGTAGTAAAATTTAAAATAGACATTCCTCTGGATTTAAATTATTTTTGTATTTCAATTCTTTCTTGATCATTCTTCGTTTAATTAATTTCATTAAATTTTTGAAGACTTCTTTTAATCTTCCTTTCCTTTGACTTTTTTAAATAAAATCCAGCAATAAATTAACGTATCAAAATAAAATAAATATTTTTATTACTTCTTTTATTCTTTGATAGGAAGCCGCCGTTATTTTTTAAGTAAAAGACTGTTGCTATGAGAGAAGGATATGTTAAAATTCAATCCTGATCAATTTTTTTAAACGTTCTTTTTTTAAACGTTTTTTTATTAGTCGTTATAGATTTTAAGATCACTTGTTGTCAATATTTTGTTGCAAATAATAACATCAATAATTTTTAAATTAAAAAAAAGCAAAGCAGGAATGAGTAGTTTGAAAAGCCTTTTTTTAAAGCTTTTTTTATGAAAAACTTTTTTCAAAAGGTAAATTAGTATCAAGCACACACCAAAAAAGGTGGCACAGTCCAATTTTGTGTGGTTTGAAGAATGGGCATCAGTCCAATTTAAATAGCTGTCGAATTCCCTCCATTTTTTTGCTTTTTTTCCTTTCCTCACTTTCAATTTTCACACATTCCTCAGTCATTTTTACCGACAAAAACATCAAAAGTCGATTTTTGTTGTTGCACATTATTGTTATCCTTCCTTCCTTCGGCACCCGTCAAATACCTTATTTTAATTTCTGATGCAATTGTTAGTCTATAAATGGATGTAAAAATAAGACTGGCAGCTAACTAAAGACAGCTCTGCGTGCATTTTCAATTTTTTCTTCAAATTTCGATGCATACCGTTGTGCTTGTTCCTCAGTTAAAATATACACCCTGTGGTCCAACAAATGGTTGCGTATTATTTTTGCACTATTCCCCTCGTTTTTTTTCGAATGGTTACCGCTGTGAAATTATTAGGGAACGTTGTAATTATATATTTGGGTTGGGAATATTTTTATTGATAAATTTTTTGTTATTTTTTGAGAAATTTTTTCCATAGATTTTTAAAAAATATTTTTTTGAAATATGTATTAAATAAAAACTTTATTTAATATAATTAAAATAATTCCGGAAGCATTTGAATACAATTTTTGAAAAAAGAGTTTTAATCAGATATGCTCATGGATACGAATTACATATAATATCAAAATGCCTGCGGATATCCGTCTGTATCCGCCGTAAATATGTGGATACGGATAACAAGATCAGTATCCGTGACCAGATCTGGTTTTAATATCGGATGAGTGATACGAAAGATTAGATGATATTAAACAATAAAGTCCTTGACCAAAAAAATGAACCACTACCCTTATTGTTAGAGTTAAAAAAATATTAAAATTAATTTTTAAATACCAGCTTTAATCTGGGAATTTTACTTCAAAAATAAAATTTATTTTTGTCAATAAAAATTTTTATAAAAAATATTTTGAACAAAAATGTCTCAAAAAACAATAAAAATTATAATAAAATATTTTTTGGACATAAAAGTGTCTGGTAAAGTTATAAAATATTGTGAGATATTAAAAAAAGAGGAGACTGAATTGCCAGTTTATTGGCAATTTAAGAGATGAATAATGAGGAAGAATTGCAACTGACACATTACTCTTTTTTGTGACTTTATTTTTCCCCTATTGCCATAATTAGGGAACGTCGAAGGTTTTTTACTTTTAAAAATAAATACAAGCTTTTAATGGAAGGAAATCTTTTTTTATTCAAAAAAAGACAAAGACGTAAAAAATAAAAGGTTTAGATTCTCCCATTTTTAATCCAGATGCTACCAAATCCATTTAAGGTTTATTCCTTCCTCGATAATATGGTGGGAGGAACGGGAAGAAAAGGATAATAGAATAAATTTAAAAAGACATTTTTGTTTTAAATGGACTTAACAGATTTGTAAGGAATTTGTGAGGAAATAATAATATGCTAATAAAGAGGAGAGATTAGAAAATGGGAAATATTTGATAATGTTTTTGTTAGGGAATTTTAACACTTTCAGATCCTATTTTTATTGAATCTTAAAAAAAGAATAGCGGAAGGGTAAGTGAGAACATTTAATTAAACAATGAGATTATTGAAAAAAAATTTTTTTTAATAATACCATATATTATAAGTATTAAGGTTTTTCCGGGGGAGGGCTAAGGATAACAATTTTCGGGGAGGAAGCGCCACGGGGGGGGGGGGGGGGGAATGTCTCAAATTCCCCGACTTTCGGTGACGGGGAACAACCCTAATAAATATAAATAAATAACATGGATCCATATTTACAAAAAATAATTTTTATAATTTAGTTAACTTAGCCTAAAATAAGTTTATCAATTACCGCTGAAAATGATGATAGCTACTATTATTATTAAAATAATAATTATTTTTGTTATAAATATTTTGTTGTTTTTGGATATATTCTTCAAATAATTTTAGATTACTTTTTCGTTGTTCTATTTTATCAACATCAATTAAAGTGTCAATTTGAGGTAGAGAGGGCATTGAAATTTTTGAAATTTAATTTACAAGAAGAAAATAATTTTTTAAAAATTTTTTTTGATAAAATAAAGGGAAAGAGAGAAATAAACTTTTGTTTTAAAAATTGTTTGAATGTGATTAAATGGAAGAGATAAAAGAAAGAAAAATCTCTCAAGAATTAATTGGCGGCAAAAAACAATG